GTGTAAAGTGGGCCGTGTCGGGCCAACACAGCACGGCCCGTGGGTGGCCCACCCTAAAGGTGGGCCGTGTTGTGCTAGCCCGCGGGCCGCCACGGGCCGGGCCGGGCTGGGCCATAGGGCGGGCCTTGGTCCTGGGCCGAACCAGGCTACACTTTTTTTTTTCATTTTTTTTGTTTTGTTTAAAATTTTTGATTTATTTTCCAAGTAAAATTGTAAAACTAAAATATTGAACTTTCCTATGAACTTTGGGAATTGAGAACTATTTAAAAAATTAGGAAATGAGAAACCAAATTTATTTAATACATAAATTAAAAAAATACTTAACCAAATTGAAATAAGAATGATGGAATAACGAATTGGAAGAAAAATAGGAATTTTATTTCATTTAAATTTGAATGGTACAATTAATGAATTACAAATACAATGACTGGATCATTGCGTACTTGGATGAATAAAATATAAAAATGGAATAATTTAATAAAATATAAAAAATACAATATGGTTACAAATTGAAAATACAAAATTACATTGTTAAAAAATTAAAATATATATATATCAAATAAATTAAATATAATTAAAAAAATTATAATAATTTGAAAAAATGAAAACAACCCAAACGTAGATTGGAAGAGGGACTAGTTTTGGTACTTTTAGATATTCACAAGAAAAAATGAGACAAAAACTTGCTAAGTATATTGTATATGCAGAACAACCATTTATATTAGCTGAAAATCCAAAACTAAAAAAATGGTTGCATAGTTCTGTAAACCCATAGTATAAAAAAGTTTCTAGGAATACTATAAAAACTGATGCTTTAAAAATTTTTTATTCATATAAACAAAATTTAATTTCTTTGTTAGCAAATCTTAATTCTAAAGTTGCAATTACTTTGGATGTTTGGACATCCAAATTTAATATTAGTTATATTTGTGTTATCGGTCATTTCATTTATGAAAATTGGCTTTTGAATAAAAGAATTTTATGTTTCACTAAGCTTGAATGGCCACATAGTGGCCCAGCTATTGCTGCAAGTATTTTAAATACTTTGCATGCTTATTAGTTTTGATAATGCTAGCAATAGAGATTCTATAATAAATATTTTAAAATTTCAATTAAAACCATGCTTAAATGGTAAATTATTTCATATTAGATGTGCATGTCACATCTTAAATTTATGTATTCAAGATGCCTTGAATATATTTTAAATCATATTTCAAAAATTATAAATTATATTATATTATATATATATATATATATATATAAAGTTCAGAGACAAGAAAACAATAATTTAAATATTTATGCCAAAATTATGGTTTAAAATATAAACATTTTATATTAGATGTAAAGCATARGTGGAATTSTACCTATGMTATGTTAGAAAGTTGTATATCTCATAAACAAATTCTTTCTAATTTTTATAATTTAAAATGCCTAATGATATGATATTTGAGGAAAACTGGGAAATGGCTATCTGTATAAGAGATTTTTTATAACATTTTTATGATGCAACAAATGAATTATCTAGAATTTATTATCTAACTAGTTGTAATTTACCATATCAATTAATGGTAATTAGTGATTGTTTTGCTAAATATAGAAATAATCCACAATTTCAATATATTGTTGAAATTATGGAAAATAAATTTAAAAAATATTGAGAGAACATTTTTCCCCTTTATTGTTTAGCTACAATATTAGACCCTAGGATTAGGAAAGATGGTTTAGATATTTTACTTGTGAAAATATGAATATTGATATAGGAAATAAAAAAAGAAGAAATTAATAATTTATTATTTGAAATGTACAGTTTGTATGAATCTGAAGTTGTTCATCATCTTCTTCTTCTACTTCTGACCTTGATCCTAGTAGTAGAATAGAAAAACTTTTTTATTTAATAAGTAGAAGGCAGAAATCTGCTAGTTCTACAAGTTCATTTACTGAACTTAATTTTTATTTACAAACAAATTTTTTTAATTTAGGTGAAGTATCAAATAATTTTGACATTTTATCCTGGTGGAGTGAACACTCAAAAAATTATCCGATTCTCGTCACCATAGCACGTGATCTACAAACCCCTCTAGTGTCTACAGTTTCCATCGGAGTCTTGTTTTAGTGCAGGTATCAGGGTGTTGGATGACAAAAGAAGCTGCATAAACGATGAGAGCATAGAGATGTGCATCTGTTTCAAGGATTGGCTAGATGCAGAAAATAGATTACAAGACAAGGGAAGGCATGATACAACACTAGACATTTCACCCAAAGTAGATGATGAAAGTCATGAATGATGATTCATGAATTTTGACTCCCTTCATCTTCCTCTCACTCATGTGTGAGCAGATGTCTGCTCAAGTTACCCGTACCACCCTTGCTACAATAACTAAAGTCTTTCCTACATTTTTGGCAAACGATCATTTTCCCCTTCTCATCAATATCCTCTACTTTGAAAACTTTCCAAACCGGGCTATGTTGGGAATCGGTTTTCAGAAGAGCCAACCATTTTTTTTAATTCTAAAAAGATAAAAGTTAATCTAATTTGACTTACTCAGATTGCTGGTCCAAAATCTCAACTTGATTTCAACGGTTGAAGCCTTTTAACATCCAAGCCTCCTGAATTGAGATACTTGAGCTGGTTGAGCAAACCTTCTTCTTGTTGAAATTTGAAACTTCAATAAAGTTGAGGCTTGAGAATGAAAAATATAGAATCAGACAATCAGTTAATCAGAATTTCTTAGGTTGCAGATAATTGAGAATGTATGAGTATGAGAGAGAGAAGAGATTAAGAGAATTGTTGAATTAGTGTGATGAGAATGGTGGAGGATAGGGCTATTTATAGGAATTGAACATAATTCAATTGCCCAAAATACCCAAAAAACTATCTGTTACTTAGTTGTTGGGAGGGGTATTTTGGTCATTGTAAAGTTACTTATTACTTTACCCAAAATGCCCCTAAACTAGTATAGCTGTTGGGGGGCACTTATGTCATTTTTTCAACCCCTCATAAGCAAAATACACAAATACCCCATAATATGGTTGTTTATAGCTGTTGGGGGGTATGGCTATATTCCCGGGCGGGCTGTGTCATGCTTCGTGCCGTGCCGCGGGTAGCACCGCACGTGCTATCGTGCCATGCCATGCCAACCCATGGGCCTCGAACCCCTGACCCAACACGGCACGGACCTCTGTGCCGAGCCTGGCACGGCCCATGGGCCTTCGTGCTAGGCCGGTCCAAAATCGTGTCGGGTCGTGCCAGGCTGCAGGCAACCCGACCCGATTTACACCTCTAACTTTGAGGCATGTTTCACTTTAATTACCTAAGCTTTAAAACACGCTAGATAGCATATGAAAAGACAAAAATACCCTTTGAATTTTAAATAAACAAGAAAAAGCATTATTTTGAAATAGACAAAATAGTCATGTTTAAATCCATTTTTACTGCGACTGGGCACCACTATTAACTTTATGCCCTAGCCTCTCTACCAAAGAACTAATGTTTCCCTCCAGAGAAGCGACATGGAAAAATGTTGTTGGAGAAGACGACGTTGTTGCCGGAGAAGAGGGATTTAGGCCACCATCATTGTAATCCCTTTTTTCAGTTATTTAGTTCATAACAAAGAGGGGTTTAGATTACCGTTGTTGTCGGAGAAAACGAGTAATTCTTGTTGTCGTCAGGGAAGACAATCAGATAAAATGGACTAAAAAATATTAAAAATGATAGTTTTGATGGTTTTAAGAAAATTTAAATCCGACATATTGTCACATGATACAAATAAGTGGACTGCTAATGACAAATATTAAATTGATAGTTATTGGGAATTCAGATACTAGTGGCACATTTTTATAAATACAAATATGTTCAGTACAAATACATACAAATGAGATTTTGCACTCTACATATTTATATTTGTACTCCTTCTAAATTGAGTCTAAAGTGAGTGAGACTAGTTCCAAAGTACATGATACTAATCTACAATTTACCCTTTTTCCTTAATGTGATTATATGCTGACTATCAGAATCGTTGCAGAGTACATGACTCAACCTTGATCTTGGGATTTTTTGTTTAACCTTAAAGAAATAATTTATACTTCTTTCAGAGTTAAGTCCAGCCGTCCCGGTAATTGATCTATTGGATTAAAATCTGCACATTTGAGTATATTGAGAATGTGTGAGTATTGGCCGGTACATGTCAATAGGGATACATCTACCAATGCTAATTCCATCCGTCCACGGTGCACAATGCGCAGCTCTCAGGAATATTTGAAACTTAAAAGCCTGTATCAGCGGATATATATACCAACACGTAAACCTTGATGGATGCAAGAGGTCTAAGAACCTTGAAGGAGGCTGTCCAGCTGTCCAAGGACTGTAACTTTCTAAGAATTGATACCCAAGAGTACGAGTCCAGTTGATAACGGCCGGAGTAACTGAAAGACTTACAAGCTTGTCTCCAGTAGATAAGTAACAATCTCCTTGATAACAACTAAACTCCAACTTCATCCATTGAGGAACTCACGATCTCCTTGAGAACTTATTCACAAAAAGACAAGGCAACGTCATTCAATCCAGCCTCTCCAGCTGTTATCAAACTAGACATGTAGCATACAAGGACTCATGGCGTTTGAAGGACGCAAGGACAACATGACTGAGGAAATAACAAGGACTCATGGCGCTTGATTTGCTACGGATAATTTTGACTTCTATTGATATCAACTGATCAGTGGAAAAATAAAATAGCATGTTTTGTAATAACAAATACTCTGGGCATAGCATCTAGCCGCACATTGAGAATATCAGCCGTAGACGTAGGGTATGTGCAGAGGTTTTTGTTTGCAGGAGGGAATCCCGTCACCTTGATTGCATATCCAACTAATGAATACCTTCACCCCTGTATAGTATTTTCAGTCTCTCTTATGAGGGTCCAGATCATCACGAGATCCCTATTCCCTAAAGAAAAGAGTGCGTAGGAAGAGAAGAGATCCAAGAAAAAAAAAAGACAACCCAGTGCACAAGGCTTAGAAGCTGTTTCCACGAATTAAACCCATGGCCACCCATCAAATGAGAGGGTCAAAATAATGAATTACAGCGTTCTCAATTAACACCCGGATTAGATTACAAGATATTACAACCCTCTTTTGATTAATTAACAAATTAATATACCAAGGAAGCACCATTGCGCACCAAAGGCGAGTGCCTCCAAAAGAATATGCACCACAACTCTACCCCGACACCTCAAGCGTTCTCCTTCCATCTCCGTAATCGCCAAGTCCCAGTCTTCATTCCTAACTTAGAGCAATGTTAATTATGCTTCAACACAACCTGAATAAGAATTGTTAAAACCCTACCCTCTCTCTTCACCCATATTGCAGTGTTGTAGAGGTCCACCAACAGATCATTCCATGAACCTGGCAAGTCTGGACATCTCCGGTATTAGAATTGGGTTGAATGAGAACTTTACTGATGAAGCAACCATAAAGTACATCAATAAACAAAACCCTGCCTAGATAAACCGATGCTGCCGCAAACCCTTCCCAAAGTGCGGCTGCATCAACCGGACATATAATCCATTCTTGGCAACCAGTGTATCATGTGTCCCTTGCTCCACGATTTGCCCACCATTCAGAACTACAATGTTATCTACATGCCTCATCATTGCTGCTCTGTGGGCAATAAGAATGGTCGTCTTGTTCCCCATTATCAGTGTATCTAGAGCTTCCTGCACAACTCGGCTTGACTCGGATTCAATAGAAGAGCTGGCCTCATCTAATAACAAGATTGGAGCATTCTTCAGCACTACCCGGGCAATGGCAATTCTCTGCTTCTGTCCTGGTGTAAGATCCACACCTCTCATGCCCACATGCGTGTCGTAACCATGGGGCAAACTACTGATGAAGTGGTGAGCATTAGCTATTCTTGCTGCCTCTTTCATCTCAGCCTCAGTTGCATTGTGCCTTGCATATATGATATTCTCCCGTATGGTGGTTGAGAAGATTATGGGTTCCTGCTGAACAAGACCTAGGTGGTTCCTCAACCATCTCAGATTAAACAGCTTCAAATCTCGACCATCCAGTAAAACTTGGCCAGCAACTGGATCATAGAATCTCTCTATTAAGGAAATTATAGTGCTCTTTCCAGAACCTGAAACTCCCACAATGGCCACGGTTTGTCCTCCATTCACTTTGAGACTAAAATTGCTCAGTATCATCACCTCCGGACGAGTTGGATAACAGAAATCAACATGTTTCAGTTCAATGCTTCCATATACATTAGGGGGTCTCAGTCCTGAATTATCGTCTGGGTCAATCTTAGGCACACGATCTATGATTTCAAATACTGAAGTCAGAGAGTTGCGCCGCTTGAGTATATACGGAGCCAGGCCAAATGGCTCCACCAATGCAAAGGTTGCGAAGGAGAAGACCATGTACTCTTTGAGAGCTGTTGGCAGATTCAAATAGCCATTTCTAACAGAGATTGCGGTATACCATAGAAGGAGAGCATTACAAGCAAAAAGCAAAAACTGTGAAAAACCAAAGGCAAAACCAATGGCCATTCCATGGAGGAAACTCTGCTTAAATATTTTCCTCAGCTGAAATCTGTAGAGTTCCATCACCTTGTTACCTGCACAGAATGCAACAACAGTGTATATATTTCTAACTGCATCTTCAAGGACCAAGGAGGCCTTCCTGTGCATCTCCTGTATGCCTCTAGAGAACCCAGCAAGCCACAATTTCTGCAAAAGCACAAAGTCACTTCAGAATTTGGAACAGAGGACAAGTTTGCATAAACACGGTGCTTTTTATCAACTTGAACCAGGATAGAAGAAAGTGTAACACCATAAATAGAACCTTCCCACTAAACAGTATGCAGCTCAGTAAAGAAATCATGAGAAACAAGTCTCATGATTACCTCTTTGGCATTTGTCACACCAACCCCAAAACCAATCCACTCCAATTCTAGGCTGGATCACATTCAAGGGTGGGGAGAATAATAGAGACCCACCTTGAGCTCCAAGCTTAGTTGCCACATGGAAGATTTATCATCATCATCATCATCATCATCATCATCCAAGCCTTTTTTTACCATATCCATTGTTAAATTATTGGCGCTTAAATCATTTCTTACTACTAGACTACTAGTCAGTAGTCACTAAACATTGTGACCACTGACCAGAAAACCATTATACATGTACATATACATATATCTAAGGAGCATGTGCTGTGAAATATGATGTTTTTGATGTTTAATTGTCTAAATTGTTTGAACCTTGTTTTTTATTTCAATAATGAAAAAGAAAATTCATTAAAGGAGAAACTGATCAACATATTTATTTCACTAATACACACGTAATGAAATTGAGGGTACTACTACTGTCAATGAAGATGGACATGTAGTGACCTCCTAAGTAGTTTGATACCTTCATGGTCTGGCGGGTTGTCAAGCCTGTGAAAACCTGGAGAGAAATATCAGGGGTCTCTACAATTTGGACCCATTCCTAGTCTCCTGAGTCAGGCCGAATCCTTTTGTTTTTTATCAGCAGAGTCGGGCCAAATCTCTTATCATTCTCTGCTGGTTCAAGCATTTCTTCACAGTTGTAGTAGAGACCCTTTTCTCCGTGAGCTTGCATTTAATCGCCTAAGTGGAAGGGTATGGGTGGAGGATGGCATATTGGGCTTTCCTAGAAGGCAATTGCAGAGGCTATAATGGGGAAACTCCAAGTATTCTCTGGAGTTTCAGTGTTTGCTTTTGATAACAGATGAGCTATTCTGGATACAGGGTTGAAGACGGTAAACTTATAGCTGTGGAGACTGAACTGGTGATTTTATTAGAAACTCAGTCGCTCTCTTGCAATAAGGAGGAGGGAGAAGCTGGAGCTTTTGAGATAAAGTTGATCAGCTTACCTTTCACTCTGTGGAAGAAAATTTCCGTTGAAAGAATTGTTCAAGCTCTGGGGGGTGTTCTTCTAGAGCTCAATTTAGCTGATTTAGGAGCAGCGAAGATAAAGATCCCCAGACTTAAGTCTTCTTCTAGCCCAATGGAGATTTGAGTGTGGTTCAGACTTTGATCAATGGTTTTGTTGACAACAGGAAGACTAATCGGTTTAGGAAAGGTAAAGCGGACAAGAGAACATTTTTAGGTTCTAAATGACCAAAATTTAAAAGGTGTGGGATGTTTGGATGGTGTGTATCATCTGAGGTTATAAACAGAAAGGAGGAGAGGTGGGTCTGGATGATTGACGAGTATGATAAGAGTGGTAAGAAGAGGATTGTTGGAGGATCAGGGACCAAACTTGTTGACCAACAGGCTCCATCTATGGATGGCGATGTTGGTTTCTGTTCTCAGGCTATTTGCGATCCTACGGCGGTTTGCATCTCTTCTGAGCCTTGGGTTGTAGATGCAGCATTTCAAGAAATTGGGTATGATCCCAAAATTCCAGCTTTGTTGGTCTCTGAGGAGGCTGTCTCTACGGGGTCTGTGAGGTTGGAAGAGGGGGAGGAAGAAGATAAGAAAGGATGTTCCAATGCTGGTGCTAAATTTGAGGACAGGAACGAGATTGGAGGACAGAGGGCTATAGTTGTCAAAGGAAATGTTGGTGGTAAGGATGAGAGTCATGTTGACGAGTATTTTTGTTTTAAGGAGGTGAAGGTTGGAAGGTTGGGTTGACTTGGGTCGAAGAAGTAAATTTAAGAAGGAGACGTCTAATGGGATATTTGTATGAAAATGCGTAGATCAAGAAACTATAATGTGCATGTAACAAAATTTTTTTCTAGGCTAAAGCGTCTGGCTAGCGCAGGCCCTACAAAAAACTATAAATGGGTTTATAAGAGAAAAGGTGCAAGAGGTAATGTGACAACTGGAATTGATCAGAGGGGGTCAACAATGTAGATTCAACCGTCGGTTCCCATTTGGGGATGGAGCAACAAGACAACAAAGTGAATGATGATGGGCCTGATCCTAGTGTGAATTTGTTGTGACAAAGTAACGACGATAAGGATGGCGTTTCAGGATGTGTGTCTCTTCAGAAAACAGTGGAAAGAGAGGTCACAATATAGAAGTCCAGTCTTGTTTTTCTAGGGGGGGTGAGGAATTTGCTAGAAGGGCCTTTGAGGAGTTCGAAGGGAGAAGAGACGCTGAAGCCCCAATTGCAAGAAGGAAGAATAGCATGGATAGACTTCCAAGGAGAAGCTCTTGAAGTCCCAGTCGCAACCCTAGTATCCCAACCATTAGTCGCAAGCCCATGAATACTGGTGATAACCTTTACCCACAACTTATCCTCGTCAATTGCCAATCTCCAAAGCCATTTACCAAGCAATGTTGTATTACTTCTTACTTCTTCTAACCATGACCCAACTTACTCTATGGTCCCTCTTTTCCTTCCTTGGCTCCTACAACAAATTCCTCATAAGTTTTTCTAGTCTTTTGCTAACCCCTTCTAGAATTCTAAAAGCTAACAGAAAATACACTGGCAAGTTGGCAAGAGTGGACCTGATTAGAATAATCCTTCCCCCAAAAGACAGATAATTTTTCTTTCAAGAAGCCAATCTGCTAGTAAACGTCTCAATTACCGGATTCCAAAAATTACTACTCCTAGGATTACTCTCAAAGGTAACCCAAATAGTTCAACGGCCATTGAGCAACCTTGCACTCCAAGAATTCTCCTCTCCCCTCAACTTCTCTCTCCCCCACGTTCACACCCACAAACAACTTTTGTCCCAATTAACCATCAAATTCGACATTTTTTCTTTTTTTTTTTGATAAATCAAAATCGACATTTTTTCAAATATGAGAACAATCATATTCAAGTTATGCACCCACCCAAGGTCAGCCCCATCACAAAAAAGAATTGTATCATCCACAAACTGTAGGTGGGTGATAGGAATCTCCCCTCTATCAACTCTAATCCCTTTATCAAAATTTTGGCATCCGCTCTAGAGATCAATCTCCCAAACATATCAGCTATCAAAGTAAACAAGAATGGGGAGAGAAGATCCCCTTGCCTTATTCTCCTAATGGCTAGAAAATGATCCACCACAATACCATTCACCAAAATCGAGAAATGACAAGTCCTAACACATCCTAAGATCCATTTACGCCATCTATTACCAAAACCAAATTTTTTCATAACCTTCAACAAAAAGCTCTAGTCAACCAAAACATAGGCCTTTTCTAAGTCCAGCTTACAAACCAAACCCTTCCTCTTAGATCTCTTCATCTCATCAACACTTTCATTAGCAAGGCTCAGCATTATGGATCTTCAACAAGGTTCAACACTATGGGTCTTCGCCAAGGTTCAGCACTTAGCCCTTATCCATTTGCACTGATTGTAGATGAATTGACTAAACACAATCAAGAGGAAGTTCCATGGTGCATGTTGTTTGTGGATGACATTGTTTTAATTGATGAAACTAATGAGGATTAAATGAAAAATTAACCTTATGGACAAATGGCTTAGAAACAAGAGGTTTCAAAATAAGTAGGACTAAAATAGAGTATATGACATGTAAGTTTAGTAATAATAGGAGTGTAAATCAAGATACACTTAGGATAGGAAACCAAGAGATAACTCAATGTGGCCATTCCCAGCAGCTTGGTTCAATAGTTCATAACAAGGGAGAGATTAAGGAGGATGTCACCCAAAGAATTAGAGTAGGATGGGAAAAAATGGAGTGTTGCAGCTGGACTTTTATGTAATAGGCAAATACCACTTAGATTAAAAGGAAAATTCTATAAAACAGTTGTAGGCCACCTATGTCGTATGGAGCAGTGTTGGGCAGTCAAGAAACAACATGTCCAAAAAATGAATGTGGCAGAAATGCTAATGCTAAGATGGATGAGTGGAAAATTAGAAAAGATAGGATTAGAAATGAAATTATTTATCAAAAAAAAATATTTGTAGGAACCTAGGAACAACTTCAGTGGTGATAAAATGAGAGAGTATACTAAGATGGTTTGGGCATGTATATGGAAGACCACACCAACTACGCCAGTTAGAAGAAGTGATTTGTTACACATTGATGAGACTAGAAGAGCTTGGGCTAAACCAAAAAGGACATGGATAGTAGTAAGAAATGATTTAAGCACTAATAATTTAACAATGGATATGGCTTTAAATAGAATGGATTGGCGAAATAGGATTCATGTAACCAACCGCATATAGTTGGGATAAGGCATGGATGATGATGATGATGTATACAATACATGTATAATATGCACCCTTGCTATCTATGGGTATGAAAATATGCTATCCAGGGTAAGCACTAACCTGCGCAATAGCAGAGACAGTTAGTATTGGTAGAGTTGCCAAAGCCACAAGTGCTAATCGCCATTGCAGCAGCATACCAATAAGAACAGCCACAACAACGGCAGTAGTATCCTGTATAAAAATAGAAAGTCGATTGCTGAAAACAGCACGTACAAACGTAGCATCATTTGCCAATCTCATGGATAATGTGTCAGCATTGTTCTCCTCATCATCAAACCATCCCACTTCATTGCGCAGCATTGCTGCAGAGCAATAACCTTGGGTTAGCCCACAATGAATTTCCACATCATGGAAGAAGCACAACAAGATTAACACTTCAAGCCTCATGAACATGCTTAAAGAATTTTGAACATATTATTTACCTGAGAACATCATTCTCCTAACCCTTTCAGTCATTTTCTCCCCCATTATACCAAAATAGAAATGCTGCAAAAAATTCGCAACCACTGTTACAACACCCATGCATGCAATGATCAAGCACCATTTGTCCACTTCATGATGTAGGTGATGACCTTCATCCACTGTATAATATGCTTCCACTATTAGTGCAATAACATATGCAAGAAGTGGATTAAAAGAACCAAAGATAGCAGCACCGGTGCTCCCCAGAACAGCATAAAGCCATTCTGCAAAACTGAGCTCTGCAAGCCTCCAGAAGGATGGAGGTTTCTGATGTTGCATGTCCTTTGATTCCTTGTGCTTCAAATGCACATTATCAAATTGACTAAGGGGACGACTGAAAGTCTTTGAGTGAGAACGCTCATTCTTTGGATCAGATGTCAATAATGGTGAAATGGGCGATTCAGGGTCTGAAGCATTTGATGTCTGTCGGTGTGCACTATGAACATCAATTTTGGGCAGCTCTGGTAATCTCATTTCAAAACTATCCTGCCTTTTTATGGATGGTGCCTTATCTTCTGTCTCCAAGGGCACCCCATTTTCCCCCATTTGCTCTGATGGTGGGCTCTGAACCTTTGGTGATCCTTGTGAATTAATAGTGCCATCTGAGGGCCGGAATGCATGGAGTCCATGTACTCTCTGAAGAGAATGTGATTTGACCATCTTGGGAGAAGATGATTCTTGGAAGCTGTGATTTGCTGTCAAGTCCTTTTCAATTTGTAAAGTTGTGGTTTCCTTGTAGTTCCTTATTGGTGTCCTGCCAAAAACAAAAAAAAAAAAAAACACAGAAATCATCAATAAAAGATGTCCTTTCTCACGAAAACTATTTTGAAGTAAGATATAAAGCCTCTATTTGAATGTTTCATTGAGCTCTAAAGCTAATATGCCACAAAACCACATAAAATGTCTCACCATGTTGAGCAAAAGCACAAGTTTTATTACCTCTTAGGAAGCTTTGCTGCTTCTTCACATCTAAGAAGCTCTGCATATAACCCATCCAGATTTATTAATTCATCATGTGTACCCATTTCAACAAGTTGGCCTTCCTCCATTACAGCTATATAGTCGGCATTCCTTATAAGACCAAGCCTTCGAGCTATCATAATGGTCGATCGACCCAGCATGAGAATATCTAGAGCCTCCTGAACAGCCCTTTCTGCTTCAAAATCAAGGCCACCAGTAACCTCATCAAGTAGAAGAATAGATGGATTTGAAAGAACTGCCCTGGCAATGGAAAGCTTTATCTTCTGCTCTTCTGTTAATGGTAAACCAGCCCTACCCACCTAGAATGTATAAAATTGTAAGAACAAAGAAGAAATGGTTAATAAACTATTCATGATAACTTAATGCCTAAAGTTGATATTCCATGTCTTCTACAGTTCTACCTGTGTTTCATATCCTTTCTCAAGTGAACTGATAAATGCATGTGCATGTGCTATTTTAGCAGCTTCTTCAATTTGATCAATGGTTGCACTTGATCGTCCATAAGCAATGTTATCTCTAATGCTCAGACTTAGCAAGGCAGGTTCTTGGGTGACAAGTCCTATTTGACTTCTTAACCATTCGAGCTTCAGGCTTTTAATATTCACTCCATCCAGAAGGACTTCTCCTGCCAAACAAAAGAAACAGATTCTTCAGAAGAAACCACTAGGGATTCCAGTAAAAAGAAACAAAGAAAAGGTAAAGAAGATTGACAGGCAATGGTAAAAAAAAAAAAAAAAAAAAAATTGATGGTAAAAAATACCTAATGTAGGATCATAAAACCTCTCCATGAGAGGAATTATACTGCTTTTCCCTGAACCATTCCTTCCAACAAGAGCTACAGTTTTTCTAGCAGGTACAGTGAGGTAAAACCCACTTAAAATAGGTATTTCAGGACGAGAAAGGTAACTAAAATACACATTCCGGAATTCTATGTTTCCTTGCACAGAAAGTAAGGTGTTTCCATCCTGATTGACAGAAGAGGTTGAGCGGCTTATCATCTCATAAAGCCTATAAGCTGCAATACGCCCTTGCTCAAATGAGTAGAAGTTTGTTGCTGCTTGGTTCAATCCACTACAAAAGGCAAGAGAACCCAGTTAAGATAAATCATACAAAAGAAAAGCATCAAAATGATAGCATGGAAGGGCATGAGAATGAGACGCTTACAGGCCACTCAAAATTACAGCAAAGAGAGCTATAATAATTTCACCACCATGGGCTTTTCTATGTGTAACTAACAGCCTTCCAACCCAAAGCTGCAAAGCACACGAACATATTGCAAGTCCATATGTAAATCCAAGTCCAAGGCCTTGAACAAGACTTATCAATATTCCATATCTCAGTGTTGCTTGAAGTGAATTTGCATAAGAATGCTTTGCCAATGGCTCATTTGTAAATGCATATAAGGTCCTAATGTAGGAGACTGCCTGCATAATTAACAAAGTTATGTTCATAATAATAGCCACTTAACAGTCAAATCATTAAATCACATCTTATCCAAGTTTCCAGCAATCACTCAGGTTAAAAGGAAAAATGCTTTACCTTTTCTTAAAAAAAAAAAAAAAAACACACAAAGAAATGTTGTATTGTATGGAGCAGAAAGTTGGGCATCCAAAAAATGAGTGGCAGAAATGCATATGCTGAGACGGATGAATGGAAAAATCAGAAAGTATAGGGTCAGAAATGAAGTCATTCATTCAAAAGGTATGCTGAGATGGATGAATGGAAAAATTAAAAAGGATAGGGTCAGAAATAAAGTCATTCATTCGAAGGAACCCAAGAGTAGATCCAATAGGTGATATAATGGGAAAAAGTAGATTAAGATGGTTTGGTCACATCCACAGAAGACCATCTACAGCACCTGTAAGAAGGAGCAATCTACTGCATGATAAAAGGGCTAGAAGGGCTAGGGACAGACAAAAAGGGGGCACAGGTTGAAGTAGTAAGAAATGACAAAGCGTCATAATTTAACAATAATTATGGAACTAAACAGAACAGAATGGTGAAACAGGATTCATGTAGCCAACCCCGTATAGTTGGGATAAACCATAGAAGAAGAAGAAGATGATGATGCAAGTTTCCAGCAAATGAAGATCAGCATAAAATAATTCAAGCTAATTCTTACACTGCACTGCTCTACCTTGAGATCATTCAAGGTAGAGCAGTGCAGTGTCCAAGATTTAGAACTCTTTTTGACTGGGAAATTCGGGAATGTGCAGAAGAACTACTTGCAAAGCTACAGTCGGCCAAAGCACAAGTGGAAAGGAAGGATTCAAGGTGGTGGAAAGAATCTTGAAATGAACTGTTTTTGGTCAAATCCTTCTACAAAGCTCTGTCAAGGAATAATGGAGAAAGTTCAGAATTAAAAGGGATTTGGGGAACCCTATTCCACCAAGGGTGGAAGCCTTTTTCTTGGCTAGTGGCGTTGGATAGTATTCTGACCTTAAATCATATTCAAAGCAGAGGTTTCCACTGGGCTAGCAGGTGTTACTTATGTGAGAATACAGAAGAGAATGTATATTATTTGTTTATTGAGTGCCCCACTCTAAATTCATCTGGGGCTTCTTCTTTGGACTCGTCAAGGCTAGTTGGAGTGACTCTTGCACCACAGAAGAGTTATTCTCTAGGTGGCCAGCTGTGAGGGGAAATATCAAAGTATAAGATTGTTTGGAGCTGCATTCCTTTTGTTGTTTGTTGGGGTGTTTAGGAAGAAAGAAATATGAGAATCTTTGAAGATGAATTTCGATCAAGGGACCATGTCACTCTTCTTTGCGGTAAAAGGATCATGGATTGGGTTCTTATTCTCCCAGAGTTGAGGGGGTTTCAAAAGAAGATCTTGGTGCTAGTTTTTGGAATATTCTTGAGTTGGTTTAGAAGCATTGTTCTTTCTTGGCTATTGTTGTTCCATTTTCTTTTTTGGTTTCCTACCTTTTGTAATGTTTTGTAGTTCCGGTGATCTCTCCTCACCCTCAGTTGTACCTTCTTCTATTAATAAATTTTATTTTTATTTATTACCAAAAAAAATAAGAGCTGTTCTTCAAAATAGAGGGAGTGCAGGTGACATCCAACCCTAATGAGAAGGTTAACTTTGTAAAAATTTGTTCTAAATAGTAAATACTGATTGATTGTATTGTAGGTGACTCAATGTTGGTCATTGGCTGGCTTTAAAAGGAAGAGAATGGATTCTGGAAGTTTTCAAATGAGAAAAAGATGTATAAAAGGCTAACCTTCAAATGGAAATTAAGCTTCAGTGGATTAAGAGAAGTGCAAACTCCTCTGCGGATGCACTTTCAAAACGAAGGGTGGGAAGAGCTAATATTTTTTGGGCAATATTTTAATATAAGTTTTATTCTTGGGGAGGGTTCCCCTTGCTCGATTGTAAGTGCTCCTCTTTAATTTTTTAATAAAATTTCAGTTATTTATCCAAAAAAATGACCTGTTGTGTAGCCCCTTAAAAAATATATAATGACCTGCACTTAATGCAACCCCTCAATGAAGAACACCAAAAAAAAGAAAATAGGGGACAAAACCAATTTTTCACCCCATTTTATTCATTAGGCTGTGTTTGGTTGTAGTGCAGATTTATCTGTACTAGTACAAATGCATTTGAGTGCAAATGAAAAGAATGCAAATTCTGGTTTAACTTTGTTTTGATTTTTACTTTATTCCACTTCTCGTCTTATTTTACTTCATTTGTACTGCAACCAAACAAAACAAGGTAGAATTTGAAACAAAAATAAATCAGAATTTGCACTCAAATCATTTGCACTACCATACTTTTGCATCAGTGTAAATAAATTTGTACTTCAACCAAACACAGCCTTAAAGACAAAATAACTACTGCAAAAATCACAGTTATATATAGCAAATCATTCTTGTATAACTTTTAACTATTTTAGCATAACCATCCAAAAGAATATAATTAAACCACAAAAAAAAAATCTAACAAATAAAAGAAAATTTACAAGGTTAAAACTCGTCTAATTTCAGGCTCAGAAGCTTTGAAAACTAATAATAAGAAGTAAATAAAGTATAAAAAGAAAATTGACCTGTTCAGCAATGCTTGCTGCCTCAGCATATGCATCTTGAATGTTTTCAGCAAGCCTGTGAAGAAATATGTTAGATATTCCTCCTGCAGCAACAATAAATGGACCAGTAGCTAGCGTAATGAGTGCAATCTGCCAACAATTGGCCAATCCAATGACAAGACCACTGAAAAAAGTAGCCATGTTATGAATGTAATTTCCAACCTGTCAAACCAGATGTCCATTAATTAGAGATATATCCAATGTGACTAGATATTTGCATGGAACTAAGGAAAATAAATTATCGTTTTTTAGGTGAAATAGTAACCCTTCAATGGCAGAGGCAACATTTTAAGTATCAAAATACCTTCTCACTAAGAGCAGATTGAATGAGCAGTACATCACTCAATACTTGGCTCACAATATCCCCATTGTTTCCATATGTGTCAAAGAAACTCATGTCCTGGTTGAGTAATACTTGGACATACTTAGACCTGATGACTGCAGTCTGCCTTTCGCCAGTAAGAATCCAGCAAGAGACCTCTATCATACAAATAGAATTAATATCACATGCTTAAGGATGTCTCCTATAGAAGACTAAAAAGAAATGCAAGTGTCACAACAAAAAGTGATAATGATTACATTTGATCTTACCAATCCAACCAGCAGCAAAAACAGCAGCAGCAATATAAACAATGTACAGAGCATGCTGTAGAATGAACAAGAGAAAGGTTAAATACAGATATATTCACATCTGCAACTTCTAGTACACGAGTTCAAATTTGGTCAGAAAGGTCTTGCAATAAATAGAAGAACAAATAAGCCTCAAAACTCAGCACCACCTCCAACCTAAGTAATTGTTCTCATTTTTTATCAAAGGTAAGGCATTTAGCTCCGAGTCCACCAGCTGTGAGAGAGAATTATGTCGATATACATGTTGATATAACAGAGGTCATCAACCATCTGTCTCACCCTAACCTTAAATCAAGCACAACAGAACCTCTATTTAAGGGCCTAGAGAGAAAGCAAGAAATAGATAATATAAAAATTTCACTCGCTAGAATGGTCGTTTCCTATTAGCTGGTGAATCCCTTAAGAAGCCAAAGAACACTCGTACCATCAAAAAAGTTATGCAAGGCAAAGGACCAACAATCTTAAGGTATGGCACCCGCTTGACCACACTAGCAAACCATATTCCATTTGCGGGCAAAACAGGACAATCTACTCCTTGTCCCACATTTCAAGTGATAATACTAAATATTTTAAAGCATACAGGCAAGGCACATTTTATGCACCTAACTTGAACCAAGGTGCAACCCATTTCAAAAGGCATGTGCCTAGTTCCATTGCACCTCATCCCAGGTGTGAATCTATTTTAAATGTCTTTTTTCATTAGTTTTTTTTGTAGGTTTTTATGTTTTACACTTATGTAATTGTTTATCAATTTCTAAATTACTTTTTGTCTGTTTGTACACTAGAAATGGTTTATTAAGGAGAAAAGAAGTTACACTGAAAATGAGAAAAAGTTACACTGAAAAACAATCTCTGGGGAGAGAAAAAGGTGAAATAACAGGGACAGCAATATATAAGCCAAGGATATAGAGGGGCGAGACACGCGGCTGGTCGTACACTGAAGCAGTGACCAGTGGACTTCAATGTGGGAAGCAACCCCAAGTTCAAAATTCAAAAGCAGGGGTGACTCAGCCGGCTGGGACATCAGACCTGAACCGGACTCAGTCAGATGGGTCAAATTCTAAAAGCCCATCATGTGGCATTTTAAGTGACCATGTGAGAGGTAATAAGGAAATCGGACCTGAACTTTTAATGCTTGGGCCTAGCCACTCGTTTTGTCCCTTGGGCCCAACCAGTGGGCTTAAAAAGGCCGAAGCAAATGACATTTTTAAAGGGCACGTGAGCACTAAGGCAAGCCCGATGATGCAAGCACATGACATTTTTATGGGGTGTGTTATGACCAGGGTTATACATTGGTTGCAAACATTGGACCTCTTCAAATATTTCTCTTTTGATGATATCTGGAGGTATTGGAGCTTCATAGCCTTTAGTGCAGTACAGAAAATTAAAGCAAGGCTGGTTTGAATCCTCCTATTGAAGATTGGCTGCAACTAAACTTTGATGGGAGCAGCCAAAGGCAACCTAGGTCCGTCTGGCATAGGAGGGCTGTAAGAGACAAGGAAGGAAATTTAAAAGCCATCTTTTCAGGACCAATGGGACATGGAGACTCTTTAAAGGCAGAACTATATGCAGCCCTACAAGGCATTCAAATTGCAAAAGATTTAGGAGTGGAGAAATTGATGATAGAAGGGGACTCCAAGGTGGTGGTGGGTTGGCTAAAGAACCCAGATTCTGTGATTTGGTGTTACAGAAATGAAATGAAGAAGTTCAAATGGCTCACACAACAGATGATTTTAACTATACAGTGGGTGGAAAGGGAGGCCAATGAACTGGCTGATTCTCTAGCTAAGCAAGGGGTAACTAGGGATCAGATGTACTGGGCCCATTTGTAAATCAGCTATATATTTTTGTTAAAAAGTGAGGCTGCACCTCGTGCCTCACACTGGGATGCTTGTAACAGATGTAATCCTTTGGTTCTAATAAAATTTAATGAAGCCTTAGTTCTTGCAAATAGGATCTCAAATAGCAAAATTTCCACTAAACAAGCAACAACAATAGAACTAGTATGTGATCCACAGTCCTAAAATAGAATGGACTGTAACTAAATCACAAAACCAACCCTTTATAAATGCAGGTCAAAAATTTAAGTCAGTGGTGCTGCTGAGTGCTGCCCCAAACCCCCACATGGACTTGTTTGGTCTTGCCCTAAGGGGCCTTTACAGTGGAAATGTGCCAGTCTCCGGGGATTAGGAATGCAAGATGTTAAACATCACACTAGCAACTTGAAGTAATACAATCATGAGATAAGTAAACAGATTAGAAGTTTCACATGCTTGAATTGTTGTGCTTGAAACACTTTGGTGCAACCATAGTTGTCAAGGCATCTAGACTATTCTTGACAATAGTAGGGCACCAAGGGATCACTAGCCGATAAGAATTTTATAGAATAAAAAGAAAAAAAAAAACTAATTTTTTGTTAGATGACTAGTTTTTTATACAATTCATCATGGATACTAATTGAAATAATAGCAATTCTCTCTATTAAGAACATTATATTTCCTCTCAAAAAATTGTATATCATTATATGTAAGAAAATAGTATTTTAAATATATGAATTTCAATGTTTTAAAAAGTAATACTAATATAATAAGTATTTAATAGAGCAATTTCATATCAAATAAGCAACTAAAGAAAGCTACAATTTTATGTTATAAAAGTTTATGATAGACAGTAAGCAAAGGGGGAAAAACAAGGGTGGAATTGGGGAGCTGTGGTAAACTGTTCAGATGCTAAAGTCGAGCCTAATCTAGCCTGGGTTCCCCCAGAAGAAGGGCTCCTAAAACTAAACTTTGATGCAGTAGTCTCGACAATCCAAGGCGTGTGCCTTGCGCCTCAGCCCAGGTGTGCACCTTTTGCTTTTTTGGAGCCTAATGGCTGGGCCGGGGCCCGGGGTCTCCACCCCCGGATCCCCATGCCTCTTCCCTCAAGGCAAGCCCAAACAAGTCCATGTGAGGGTCCTAAATTTTTAGTTTCACACAAAAAATAAGGATAGATTTTATAATTTTAATTGTTTTTTAAGAAGATATTTTTCTCGCTCACCAAAGCTCCAAGAACCCCTATTTGGTAATGTTGTTCATTCATTCATCCTATTAAAATATCTTCTTAAAAAGCAATTAAAATTATAAAATCATTATTTTCTGTGTGAGAACTAAGAATTTAGGACCCTCACATGGACTTGTTTGGGCTTACCTTGAGGGGCTTGGCACAAAGGTAGCTTGTAGAATCAGGAATATAATATGTTTTACATCACATTAGCTACTTTAAGTAATGTAATTGAGGAAAAAAAGAGATTGTGGGTTTTACATGCTTGAAAATGTTTTATATGTTTGATTTTATTTTTAAATTCACATTTGAATATGCTTTACATGTTATGTTTATGTATTTTAATTTTAGATAATAGGTTTTTTAAAACATTTATTTTAAAATTTAAAGTTTATGTTTTAATTAATATTATGTTTAATATTTTTTGGCATTTTTTTATTTTTCTGACAATTTTTTATTTTTAGCACTTTTTTTATTTTGCGCCTTGCTTCAAGAACACATTCGCCTCAGGCACAAATTGACCCCTGCGCCTTGCGCTTTTAAAACACTGAGGCAAAGTATAGTATATTGTATTAATCACTTATCAAGGCCCTTTGTACAAAGAGAAACTGTACAAGACAACCCACTATGGACCCCCAAAAAGATCCACCCTCCAAAAAGAAGATGAAAAGTATCATTTCTAAATACATTATGGACAGACAACCAACTCTTTAAGAAACCCACTACTGCATTAATCACCACTGCTTCTGAATCTAGCTTTTGCTCAAAAATTCTGCTATTGTCTTAAGGTGGTCTGTGGATCTTGAAGTTGGAAAGACAAATTGCATTAAAGATGAGAAGAGCTATGGTTTGGGAGGATCAAAAAAGTGGTAAGTCTCAAGGAGAATGGCTAAGGGAAGAGAATCCCTTCTTTAGACTCCTGGTTCCCTATTTATATAATTGGGGAACCAGGCTACATGTATGAGATGTATATTCCAGAACCTTCTTCGCTTTAACAAATACATGTACAATAAATCCCGTTTATTTCTCCCCCATAAGCACGTGTCTTGGGGACAACAAGGCCATTAGGCCACATTCCTGGAAGCCACTCTGAGCATGACACATGTCCGCATAAACATCAAGTACAGCCAATCGTGGTTTCCTTGAAGTGGTCACATGTCTTACCCCAAGCACACTCCCAAGACCATAGTGAGGACTGAAGCGCATGGCTTGACTTAGACTCTGTGAGTTTAACATGATCGCAAGGTTCTGCCTATACGGGGATTTCTTCAAGGCGGATCTTGCATACTAGCAAGATTGCCTTGTTATCGAGCTCGCCTCGTCATATTACACTCACGGGTTAGACACATATGTTATTTCTCTCTTACAAGATCCACTTTTTCTGTGAGGTCCTCGGTCCTCCACTACTACCAAACCTCGCTTGGTTTGGCGACTTCACATTTTTGCCAACTCAATGCCACAAGATTATCTTCAACTAGCTTTTCTTCTCGCACCGAGTCTTTAAATATATATCCACAATCCCACACGAGGTTTCCCTGCAACCCAGAGGGGTGCAGATTGCTGATTAATTCTGCCACCAAGAAGTGGAGCATGTTAATAACCTATTCCTTCACTGCCAGTCAGCCTATAGAAGCTGGGAGCACTTCATTGATGCTGCAAAATTGACCTGGGTAATGCCAGGTACTTATTGGAGCTTCTAAGGGCCTGGAACAACATAGGGACAGTGCCAAAGGAAAAGTTATTTGCCAACTTCCCCGAAGCTATCATCTGGACTACTTGGTCTAAAAGAAATAGAAGAGTGTTCTCCCAAAAATCAAGACGTGGAGGATCTGATTAAGGTTGTGATTCGCAAAATCGGGTGTACCATTTGTTGTGGAATATTCGAAGTTTCTATTTGGCGGGCCTGCCTAGTAGTCAGCAACCTTTCCTGTTTGTTATACCATTTGACTCCTTTTTAATAAAATTTTACTTTACCTTTTTACAAAAACAATGGCAATGTTGGTGTCTCTTTCCATCTCTTCTTTCTGCTTAGCAATTATCAAGTTTACAATGTCCCACATCCACAGAAATTACAATTCCATCAAATTTTGGAATTTTCCACCAATGAGGTATGATCTTCACTTGCTGAATACTGAGACTATGGCAAGGAGCTCCTTGTTGTAGGTGGAGAGAGCTTGTGGTGCTCTTGTAGAGCTCAACTATAGAAAGCTAAAGGCTTACCCTCCTATGATATTATGACCCCAATTCCAATATTATTTGCATCATCCTCGATGATGAAGGGCTTGTGGAAGTCTGGCTGGCCCAAGGTAGGGGCCTCTGTCATAGCCTTCTTCAAACATTGAAATGTCATCTCTGCTTATTCATCCCATCCCCAACCTCCCTTCTTAAGGAGTTAGGTGAGTGGCTGAGCTATGTCATAATCTTTCACAAATTTCCTGTAGTAACCCGCCAACCCATGGAAGCCTCTTAGAGATGAGATTGGCAGGGGTTGAGGCCAACTGATCATGTTATGTATATTGTCAGGGTCAACCTCACTCCTTCCTTTTTTTTTTTTTTTGATCAATAACAGTGAAACCTCACTCCTTCCTTTGAAAAATATTTCCCAAGTACTGAATTCTATGGACTGCAAAAATACATTTGCTCTTATTTGCTTAGAGTTTTGTGCTCTTGTAGGTTTTGAGTACTGTCTTCAGGTGCTTAGCATGGTCATGGAAATTCTGAATGTAAATTAAGATGTTGTTGAAGAAAACTAAAAGAAACTTTGTGCAAATATTCTTTGAAGAGACTGTTCATCAAGGACTGGAAGGTGGTTGTGTGTTCGTGAACCCATAGGGCATCACAAGCAATTCATAATAGCCTCCATGAGTCCAACAAAACTGCAGTGAAGAAATAGGTGGTTTTTTTATTCCCTACAACTATTGCATAAACTGTATTCCTGAGTGTCCACTGTATAACCTCTCTTTAACAGATTATTAATTGTAAAGCATTTATCCAATGCAGCTAAACACAACAAAAAGCAGATTTTTGATGGTATCATCTTGCACCACGCACCTCACAGACTACCGTAGCCTAGTTTTTGTGTTATAGCAGAAGATTAATACTCCCATCCAACAGAAACTACTCGGAAAATTGTTGGGGTATGACTTTGAAGTAAAATACAAAAGAGAAAGGGAGAACTTTGTCAGAGATGCCCTATCTCAAAGAGGTGAATCCGAGTTCATGGCCCTCTCTAGCCCGATTCTAACATGGGTACAAGGGGTGTGAACTGAGACAGCTAACAACCCTTCCTTATAGAAGATAATAGCTACAAGCCAGGTAGGGACAGACTCAGTTCAAACTTGTAACAATGGACTATTGCGGCTAAAGGGGCAGATTGTTCTGGGTCCAAATTCAGTTTATCAGCAAAAGATATTTGATGAGCTACACTCATCACCTTTAGAAGGCCATTCTTGATAATATTAACACCATGCATAGGATCCAGACAGTTTGCTGTTGGAAGGGGTATGAGGAGGTCAACATTGGAATTGGATTAAAGAATGTGAAGTATGCCAATGTAATAAAGTGGAAAATATCGCACTTCAGGCCTGCTGCAACCCTTGCAAACTCCTAATCAGGTCTAGTGAGAAATTTCCATGTATTCCATTGATGGATTACCCACCTCTAATCGAAGGTCTTCAATCCTTGTATTGGTTGATAGGCACTCAAAGTATGGCCACTTCCTGGCCTTGAGTCATCCTTATACCATCATAGATGTTGCTCAAGCTTCATGGGTGATATTTTTCAGTTCCACAAGATGCCAACCACCCTTACCAGTGATTGAGATTCTGTATTCGCCAATCAATTTTGGTGAGAGTTGTTTTGCCTCCAGTAGACACAACTAGGCATGAGTTTGACATACCATCCTAGACCAAATGACCAGACAGAGGTACTGAACCAAACTCTCAAAACATACCCCTGGTGCTTCACTAGTATGCAACCCCATTCTTGGAGCAAACGGTTCCCACTAGCAAAATGGTGATATAATACCACCTACCAGTTTGTGGCCACGATGATCCATTCAAAGCTGTATACAAGGTCCCACCTTCCACACTTCTATCTTACATCTTGGGGATGCCAATTGCCAAGGTCCAAGCAATTGAGGATGAACTGAAGGAACATGAAGCTGTCCTAAGAAAAAGTTGAAATCCAATCTGACAATGGCTAAGGAGTGTATGAAACGCAATGAAGACAAACAGAGAATAAAATAGGAGTTCCAAGTGGGTGATGAAGTCTATCTCCATCTCCAACCTTACAGGCAAACTTTGTTCACTCCTCACCATTCATAGAAGCTGTCAGCTCCATTCTATCACGTACAACTACCTAATGGGCATTAACTACACCTGTTTCATGCATCTTGACTTAAGGCAAAGGTTGGGAAACACTGGTACTCTAGTCCCACCTTACCTACCCTAACAGCTGAAGGGACCATCCATCCATACCCAAAGGTGACATTGAGCCGATGGATCACTAAAAACAAGGTAACTGGGTGACCACTGAATTGTTGATTCAATGGAAGGTACCCCACCAACTGACACCACCTGGGAGAAGTGGGAAGATCTGGTTAAGCATTTCCCGAATGCAAGCTTTGAGGAAGAAGCAGATTCCAAGGGGAATGGGAAGATACAGCACTCAGAGAATGAAGGACACATATCCATCTTTCACAGTAGTTATATATCCTTGCAAGAAAAGGCCACCACGTCAGTAGGGCCATGCACCACCCAACCATTATGAAACAGCTCACCCATGATTGTAAAACCACTGGCAATCATTGCTGTGATTCCCTTTTTCAGAATCTGTTATAGCAACCCCAAGTATCTTCTATGAATGTAATTTCATTTCTCTTAATGAAATATTGAGTTATCATCGTGTAATGTTCAGGAGAGGCTGCACCTCGCGCCTCTCCAAGGGATGCATGTAATAGCTTATCTTCTTTGATTAATGAAATTATCTTTCAATTATCAAAAAATATTATATTGAGTTATCATTGTTTTCCTCTACATTTGCTCTCTGACTATCTCTTGACCTCCATCAGCCGTGCCCCCTGGCACCATAGCTCAAGGTAACTAGAAACTCTCGTCCCAGCAACGGGAAGAGATCACTAGCATTTTGCAAGCTAAGTCCTACTCTTTTAAGTTATTTTGAGAGTAGTGCTGTATGGTTTGACCTCTTGTTGTCAATGATATTCACTGTTGTTGACCGAAAAAAAAAATGCATTACCACGTTAATAAAAAGGGCATCAACCTCAAGGATAAAACAATAGATTTCATATTGGAGAAAACCCAAATCAATCCTCTAAAGTTCTCATATAACGATTCTAAGGTGAACGAGCAAACTCGTTTTCCTGATCTAAGTAATAGAACAGTAATTGCAACTCCAAACACCAAAAGCACACAACTGAAGCCTATGCTCCAAAAAGAAATTCAAAGCATTCGCGACAATTTTAACATTTCTATCAAAAAGCATGCGTATACTCTAAGCAGGTGGGCTGCAAAAAAGTTAAGATATGGTCCAAATTATACCCACAGAAAAAAGAAAATGGTATTTTAGCAGAACAAATGAGAAACAAAATGGAGTTTATAAGACCGACCTGTGTGAACTTATGAAACAGCACCTCCTTAGGACTCTCTTCCAAGCTCAGCAACTGAATAACCTTGCCGAAGAAATGCAAGTAAACCACAAGTGCTGTCCCATGAGCAGCAGCAGCCAATGATCCAACAACCATCAGAACCCAATCGAACCTATCCGCACAAGCAAATAACCTTGAGAAAGGAACAGCTGCTGGCGGTGGCTCGATTTCCTCGGGCTCCTCAATTCCAACTTCATCTTCCACAGGCACAGCTTCAGTGTTCGAATCCAAGTACGGGGACGGCGACTCCGGCGGCTCCGACACCTCCGAAACCGGCGTTAACGGCTGTATATGCGGGGGAGACCACCCAAAAAGACCTCTTGATATCATCATCTTCTCCACAACCTCGTAAACCCTAAACCCTAATTCATCAAACACCTAAAACGCTTGAAGCCTGAAAAACAGACAACATTGAGCGGATCTAGGGCTAAATTTGGAAAGAAAATGATAAAAGACAAAACCAACGCTCGCAGTGCCACTCTAGGGTTTTCTAACTTCTTTTCTTCATTGAGTAATGATTAAATCCGGGCCAAGAATCCGTCACGAATCGCCTAATCGGTCAAACACGATGGATAGAAGAAATAAAGGAAGAAGACTCTCGCATACGGAACTTCATTTTCTTCCTAAACTCCGCCTTTTTCTTTTCTGTTCTTTTTATGTACTCGCGAGTAAACGGTTGTTATGCCGGCAAATTTTCTTTCCCGGTCATCGCTTTTTTACTTTCTTCGTCACTTGTCACCGCCGGCGTTAAAAGCAAAGAGGAAGGCGTTCCTTTTTTTCGGAGACTATCCATGACTCATTCGCAGACATCATTACAGTTTACCTTTTTTGCCAGTCCATCTTCTCTGTTCCTTCTGTTTCTCTCTGTCTCTCTCCTTTCTTTCACACGAATTCGTGTTTGTTTGTTGATTACTTTATTTATTTGTTGGTTTTAGTTTTTCTACAAAATGGAGCTTTAATATTCACACTGAATGACCGAAAGCGTTTGCTATCAACGAGGAAGAAGAATTTCTGTATTGAGACTCTGAGAGACTTGAAGAGTTTAGAGGGGCAGTAGTTTATATCCTCGTTGACCAGAGATAAAATGAAATTCCAACGGCCGTGTGAGCGAATAATGTAAGGGATAAGAGAGACATAACTTGAAAAGTAAAGGATATCCGGTGAAATCGAAAGAAAGGAGAAATGGTGTATTATTTATGGGGAGGAATGGGTCAACCAACGAAAATTTTTGAGGGTGGCCTACGATAACATTACAATAAAAATCGATGTGGAGAGGGGCATTTTGGGAAAAAAAGTATGAGTACGGACATTATCACGCACAGTATGATGGGTGCATTTTTCATTGGGATAAAGTATACTGCACTCCACCTCAGAATTCAGACCTACAATAATTTAAAATTTTAAAAATCTTCACCTATACACCCTCATGTATTTCCATTAATTTCGAGCTGGCCCAATTATACGGTGGAATTAAGATTTGTGGGGGTGGTTTTTCATTTTGATGGTAGTCATGGGTTGGAAAAGAATAGTAATGAAAAGGACGAGACGGGTATCTTTAAAGCTGTTTATAAGCCCGGAATGTTCAAGCTCGACAGAAGATATGATTCAATGGGACCAAACAGACTCTGACAACCGTCAGATGAGAATAATTATGTTGGCCGTGGGACCCATGAAATTTAATGACGTGTGATATATATCATCCATACACAAGGGATATACATAGTGGGTCAGGGGGAACTATGGTATATGGTGGGTTTCTGTTTTTTTGAAAGTTCTCTCTTTCATCCTCGTCACTTTATTATTGGTTGCTAACTTGCTACATATACTTTAATACTTTAAGCTGTTGGCCGTGTTGGTTGAAGAGCTTGGTTAAAGTTAGTTGGGGACCATTTTTTGGGGGGTGGTGGTAGATTTATAACAACGGACGGGACCTTTTTTTGGATTATACTAAATCATGGTTTTTAAAAAGGACCGGACCGCACCGAAAAACTGGGAACCGGCTAGGTAATTCATAATTGGTTTCATTTTACCCTAAAATCTTTTTTGGTTAAAATTCATTGATTTGATCAATAATTGGTTGATCCGTCAATCTAGTTAGAATGAATTATTCATTCAAATAAGATGGTTGGACCATTCAAATTAGGAACCCGATCCTTGAAATGGTTTCCTGTCTGATTCGATTTTAAAAACTTTATTCTAATCCATTGACCTTAATAAGCTACGAAGAACATTCAAGTCAGGTCATGAGGGGGACGGTCAATTAAGACTATTACTCCATCGGATCAAGATCAGTCCAAGCTAATCGTTATTTTTCCTTGAAATTACTTAAGTTGGGGGACCGGAGCCTTTACATACTCCGGTCTTCCAACGGCATAATCGATGATCTAGTTAGACATTTTTTTTTTCAATGGAGAGAAACAGACATCTCCGAATGCTTATCATAAAGTATTTGATAGCTTCAGAAATATTATGATTTGTGAAAGATTCTCACTTTAGTCTGAATGGAACAGTTGGGCATCATGTGATTGACACCTTGGGCTGCTTCATAATAACATCCATCTGTTTGTTTTCAAACTTGTGCTGTCCCCACCCCCTGAGTTATATTCTATGTATAATGTATGTACTATAAAATTTAAAGGGTGAAAAAAAAGGAAATTCTTTGCTTGGAATTGCAGAGGCCCAAGCAAAATATCCTATCTTATTGTTGAAAGTGGAGAAATAATGGAGGATTTCTTTATTGGTACTTTTTTTTTCAACAAAACTCGTGCTACACCTCCGTCATAATGGAGGAATTTGGGGCAAAGTGTCACAACCCTAATTTCTAGTTATACTCGTTTCCGCATTTTGGTAAATAATTTCCCTTTTTGGGTTTTCTTTTCAGGTTCTTCTTCACTCTAAGGACTTAGCCAAAGTCAAACCAGATTTAATGGAAATCCTGGAAAATATTCTCTTCTGATGTCTTCCTGCCAAACAAATTGAGCCTTAAAAACATCATCAATATCTAATTTTGTCCATCAGCATAGCCAAAACTCGTTAGTACAGAGCTTATCAATATGAAAGTAACTTAAGAAGCTTTCAACAATAAATGTTTTCGTATCTCCTTGTTAGCCACAACAAGCAGGAACTTCAGTACCGCAACTATCCAGTAGTCCGTTGACACAACATATAAAGAAGTTGAGATAATATAACCCTATGTTTGGTTTGAAGGAAAATGCAGGGAAAAGAAGGAAAAGAAAGAGAAATCTTTACAAACATTGTATAGGTTTTCCTGTCTTTCCCTTCCTTTCCCAACCTTTTCTTTCAAACCAAACAAAACTAAGTGAAAAAACAGGCTACCATACACTTGAGCAAAACCAGAGTCATCTGGATATAAGCAAACCGGCCGTGTTGATGAAAAAATCCTGGCCCAACTCACCATTATACATGTAAGGTAACACTTGCTTCTTCTCGTAAAAAGGGGAAAAAAAAATTATTTATGTGGCTGGTGGGTCGTTCAAAAGCCCGTTCTATGCATTGGTTTTGGGATAAAATGGACAAGTCATTTGGAAAGGAAAATAAGGTAGCGTCCAGACACTGCAGCTGTGTTGTGTTGTAGAGTTCCCCCAAAGCTAAGTCTTCGTTTCCTGCATCAGTTCTCGCTTTTCTTTTCTGCAAAACTTTACCCCCAATCCATCGCACATAGTTTCTGAGGGCTTCTTCTCAGGTTCCCTCTCGGTCTAGTCTCACTTCCATTTTCAGTCGAATATTCGTTGCATTCATTTCTCTATAATTCAATTACATATGTTTAGTTAAATAGTTACCCATTCTGCATTATGATATCAATGTGACAATGTCTCAGCTTGGGCTATGAAAGAATATGCCGCCTTCCCTTGCACTAGACAAGGCGTCAATCTGTCAATCCTTTTCTCTTTCGGGCATATTGAAGGCCAGCAGCCTCGGTTGATAGGGTCTGGTTCCACAAACTTTAGATCTGGGCATAATTGGGATTAAGGGTGCAACATTTTTGGATTTGGATTGAGAATTTATCAAATTTTCAATGGGCTGAAACCCAATCTCAAAACAGTGTAAACTATTAACTTGGACCAACCCGACTTGCAGCCCTAAATGGAATCAACTGGGGCCTATGGATATAAAGCCCTTAAACATTTAATCATAATAATCAAGTCCAACCCAATGTTTTAAAAGCTGACCCGTATCGAGACCGAACCATTTCTTGTATCCGGGTCATGGGTCACCAGCTGGTATAAATAATGGGGCAAGACGCAAGGTGACCAGCTGGATCAACGACAGCTTGAAAACACTGGTCCAACCCCATGATAATAATCTCTTTTTAAATGTACTATACCTTTTGAGATGAGAAATTTATAGTAAGAAAGTTGGGAAATAATTTTTTTATCCTTTCTCATGCATGCCATAGAAATTAGACCTCCTCCGGTTGACACCCTTACTAGTAAGGAAGCGAACTGCAATTGCTTCACTAAAACTTATTTGATCTTCATTGATTTCATTGCTTTGTTTTGAATGAAGCCACTAGTACCAACAATGATGAACACATTAGTTCCCATTTCTTCTATATCCATGTCAGGATGCATGAGGTAAGGAAAAACAAAAACACAAAGAGCAATTTATCATTCTGAATGAAGCAGGCGAACAAAATGAAGAACAAGTGACAGAATTAGTGTTGCTCCCCACAAACATAAAAGAAGCAGATGGAGACCTTCCTGGTCTGTGTTCAAACTCAAAACTGCTAAAAATTAAAGAAAAGAAATCCTGACAGTAGCTTTTCTTTTCTACTTTAGCTTGTCTCTTTTTCTTTTTTTTTGTTTTGGACCTTCTCTTTATCATTAGGGAAATGGGACGCAGATAAATTATACTTCTAGACAATAGGAGCCAACAAAAGGCGGGAAAAGACGAATCGAAAGATAAATTGCATACTGTTGTCGATTCCTACAAAATCTTCAATGTTTATGGTGGTTATATTCCAAAATCAGACTGGATCATGATCCATTGTTTCAATTACAGCTTTAATACCAAGCAAGTTCTGTAGATAAAAAATCAACCGAAGTTGCTGTTATCTATTTTGTAATCAAGCTGTCAGAAATTTGAAAAAAGGAGAGGACATGCTCTTGCCAATTTACTTGGGTTATTGAGGAATCGTTGATGAAGAATTAATTGTTCAGTTAGGCCATATCTGGTTCAATTCTCATTCAATCATTCTTTCTTATTTTCCCCAAGATGAAATTCTAAAATGAACAAGGGTAAAAGTAGGCAGAATGAGAAAATATTGCTATAAACCAAATGTTTTTTTCTTAAAAATAAATTTTTTCAGACTGATAAGTGTCCTATGTAAAAGTGCTTTGATAAAAATATTTTTATAAAAGTACTTTTCATAAAGAGTGTTTTTATAAAAAATGATTTTATAAAAGTACTTTTGTAAAAGTTATTTCGTAAAAGCACTTTTATAAAAGTGCTTTCGTAAAAGTACCTCCACGGTGGTCCACTAGTAAACATCTATGGCATCAATTTTGTAAACAGAGTTTCCTCAAAGAATGAAAATGAGCAAGATGAGGCATGATTATTTTTCATGCTAGGCTAATTCAACTTTTGTGCTATGGGATGATTTTTCATTCTAAATAGAATGTGGGTAATGGCAATTGATGAGGCGCGATCCGGTCTGTCCTAGCTGCCGGTTACCTCGCTTCTAACAAGATCAGAGGAGCCTAAAACAAGGAAGAAAGTGGAGGCTTCCGGGGAGGAACCCGATTGGAACACTCCGAAGCTCAAGTTAATGTTCTTCAGAAGGCAAGGGAAATAGGGAATTCTAAGACCAGAAAACGCAAGAATCACATACCCTTTTCTTTGTGAGATGGGGGCCTTTTATAATCACCCTGTGCACTCACTTCCATGCCTCTGCCAGTTCGGGCATCATTGCCTCTGCCAGATCGGGTCACTTCCTTCTGTCAATTGCCAGTTCGGGTGTCATAACCTCCACTGCCAGTTGCCAGGGCCGCCTCTATCCGTGTGGGATGG